ATAAAATGAAAACATTTGCATAGCCCATGACCCAGAGAGTCCACTTGCATAAGGACATGCTTTATAATGGTCTATTCCACGGCAGATAATAAAAGAAGGCATGCAGGAAGATCTATATGCAGTGACGTGCAAAGGTATCAACAAGTTGCGGAATCCCATGGTATGATTTCATTTGATTAAAAAAAAAAAAGAAAAAAGGTATATACTACATATTATAGTAAAAATACCTTATATGTGTGTGTATATTACAAGTAATGATTATAAGTGTGTGTAGGGGGGGTTAGACTAGAACGTTAGAAAGCTGAGATTCTAAGGAGGAGCACTTTTCACTTGATATTCTTCTCTATGGTATAGTTTTTACATGAATGTTTTTTTTTTTCTTTTTTGACGGAGTCTCACTTTGTCTCCCATGATGGAGTGCAATGGCGTGATCTCAGCTCACTGCAACTTCCACCTCCTGGGTTAAGCGATTTTCATGCCTCAGCTTCCTGAGTAGTTGGGATTATAGGCATGCCCGGCTAATTTTGTTTTTTTGATACCGAGTTTCGCTCTTGTTACCCAGGCTGGAGTGCAATGGTGTGGTCTCGGCTCACTGCAACGTCCGCCTCCCGAGTTCAAGCAATTCTCCTGCCTCAGACTCCCTGAGCAGCTGAGATTACAGGCATGCTTCACCATGTCTGGCTAATTTTTTGTATTTTTAGTAGAGACGGGGTTTCTCCATGTTGGCCAGACTGGTCTTAAACTCCTGACCTCAGGTGATCCAGCCGCCTTGGCCTCCCAAAGTGCTAGGATGAGAAGCATGAGCCACTGCACCCGGCGAGCATGTATTATTTTTATAATAATTTTAAAAAATCTTGAGCTCCTTTTGCCCTAAACTATTTCCCCTATTAGTCTGGTTGTTTTAATGCACATATATTGTGAAATAATCAGAATACAAGTCTGATAAATATGAATTCTAGTGGGGACAATGGAATAGGGTATTTGTAATTGAAATCACTGCATGAAGTACCCTCTCCCTTGTCCCTTTCTTTCCCTTCTCTGGCCTGAATGTCCCATCCCTACCCCCATCCCTGTAAGTCACTCCTCTGGCTTAAATGGGGAGTTAACACAGGGTGGTAGGAAGAACAGCAGACTTGGAGTCTCTTATGCATTGCCTGCCAGGGCCCCCTGTGCAGGACTCCAGGCCCTACTCTAACACTTGCTATTTGCCCAGCTGTAGGCTCTCAGACCCTCATTTCCCTGTGATAGCATTAAAAAAAAACTTGCTCTGCCTACATCACACAGATGTGAAGATAAAATGAAACAATGCCTTTGAAGGTATCTGGAAACAGAAGAGAGTCCTATACATATATTTAAGGTTTTTACAAATCAGCATTAACATTTGATTTTATAACCATCATTAAAAAGGGAAAAGTAAATGGGTGGAGAGCGAGGAGTAAAAAAACAAAACAAAATGTAGAGGCAGTATTCAAGGTCACAGTTAAAAATTTCATATTCCCTGCAGGTGGTGGGTGCTGAATGGTTGAATAAATGAACAGTCCTCAAATGAATATATTTTGGGGCAATAGTAAGTTGCCCCCCGGAAGAAAATCACTTTTGGAAAATAAAACTGGGAAGAATCTGTGCAAAATGGATGAGACCAGCCACAGAAGCACTTCATCCTAAAATATGGTAAAGGTGGTATATACAAAATTAGGCCGGGTGCAGTGGGTTATGGCTATAATCCCAGAACTTTGGGAGGCCTAGGTGGGTGGATTGCTTGAGCCCTGGCATTTGAGACCAACCTGGGCAACATGGTGAAACCCAGTCTCTACAAAAAATACAAAAATTAGCCATTCGTGGTGGCACGCAACTGTAGTACCAGGTATGGGGAAACTGAGGAAGGAGGATCACCTGAACCTGGGAGGTCAAGGCTACAGCGAGCTCAGATTGCACCACTGTACTCCAGCCTGGGCAACAGAGTGAGGCCTTGTGACCAAAAAAAAAACCAAAAACCAAAAACCAAAAAACAACAACTTGGATTGGACTGGGCAGGGTGGCTCACACCAGTAATCTGAACACCTTGGGAGGCCGAGGTGAGTGGATCACTTGAGGTCAGGAGTTTTAGACCAGCCTGGACAACATGGTTAAACCCTGTCTCTACTAAAATTACAAAAATTAGCCGGGTATGGTGGTGGGAGCCTATAGTCTCAGCTACTCAGGAGGCTGAGGTGGGAGAATTGCTTGAACCCAGGAGGCAGAGGTTGCAGTGAGCCGAGATTGCGCCACTGCACTGCAACCTGGATGATGGAGCAAGACTCCATCGCAAAAACTAACTAGATAAATAAAAACAAAATAACAAAACTGGGGGATACGCAAATCCAATCAATATTCAAATAAGTGTTTGCTAAATGCCAGGGATAGTGCTATGCATTTTACTTATTTAAGTCTCATAACAACCCTATTATCGCCACTTTACAGAAGAATGGGAGGCACAGAGAAGTTAAGCAATTTGCCCAACCTCATAGCACGTAAATGGTAGACGAGATTCTAATTTCTAATAGTCTGGCCCCAGGGCCCATGTGCTAAGCTATCCCTTACCTAGAACAGTACGAATGCTTGCTCAGAGAAACAGGACTTAAAATAGAAAAAAGTGGTGTTTTTTGAACATCTGACTGAAAAGGAATGTGTTAACATGTTGTTTCTAAACTTACCAGGTAACAAGAGTCATTCTTCTTGTGATTGCTTCCCAAACTGCAGCATGCTTATGAATCACATGGGGATCTTGTTAGAATGCAGATTCTCACTCAGCAGGTCTGGGGTGGGAAGGCTCTAGGCAGAAGGCAAGAGGGTCCCCATCATTGGAGATGGACTTCCCCACTGAAAATGAAGAAACTGGCTTCTGCTCAGAACCTCAGTCTCCCATGAGGCAGTTCCTAACAGTGGAAGCCTCTCTTTGAGTGCCCCAAACACCTGAATTTCTGGACCAGGAAAGCTGAGGTGCAGCCCCAGGCCCTCCTCCCTCCCTGAAAACTCAGCCTTTTGTGCCCAGCAAGCTCTGTGGGGGTCTTGTTGGGGAGCTTTCTCTTGCTGAAGGGATCAGACGAGTGAGGGGCACTGACCCTGGAAAAGGGATGCTGGGGAGCAGGAGGCTCTGCAGTGGTGGAGTGGACTGCACAGCGAGTGGTCTGGCGCAGTCTCCTGTGCTGTGGTCTGCAGAGAGAGGCAATGATAAATAAGGATGAACTGGAAGATGAGGTGTGCGGTTCATGTACAGAAGTGGCAGGTCTGTTGGGGGAAAGGAGAGATTGACTTTGCCTCCTTGGCTGTTGTATTCATGGCCCGTCCTCAGTGTGAAACTCAACGCAAGAAGGAGTTTGTGCCCCATAAAGGCATGGGCTGGTCAATCTTGTTGATCCACTAGATCCATAGCAGGCTATTTGTTGACTGAACAGACAAATGAATGAAAGGCTAGGGAAGCCATACAAAGCCAGATGCTCTTACCCTCCACCTCCTCCTGGGATGACTGTGGGGATGACTCACGTCCTGCTGCCCCCTCACTTTCTCAGCCTAAAACCACACATCCTGGACTATGCAGGCAGCAAGCTGACCCTTCCTTTTCCGCTGCAGGACCTTCATTACACACAGTTCCCAAGTTTCCAGCAAGTTGCCTTTCTTCCCCGTTTAAGAGTTGAGAAAACTGGGCCTTGGGGAAAACAAGAAGTCCCAGTTTAAGTCACCAGAGATGTCTTTCTAAAGAAGCATTCAGGATGCTGTGCTATCCAAAAGCTGGCTCCAGAGACACCTGGACCATTTCAAGCTCTAAGAACTGTGTTTCTGTTGCCTCTGTCTGGCTCCTATGCCATATCACGCCCACATGTGTGAACTCAAAGCCAAAGGGAAGAGACTAGGCCATGTGCAGCCAGGACGGAGGCATGTAAAATCTGGAGAGGGTGGACCAACCTCCCATATTCCTGTGTTGGCAGAGAAATAGACCCACCAGTTTGCCTGGCACAGCCAAAACTCAGCTTTCTTGCTGTGGGAAGATGGCCTGAGACCAGTCTCAACCAGTCTCCATATCAGGGCTTGGCTGTCTGGGTGCTTGAAAGTACCCTTCCCCCACCCGGATCCCAAGCGTCCCTTGGACCCTGCCAGGACAGAGCCACAGATGCCGGGGAAATGGGAAATGTCTGGAGACAGAGAGGACAGCCACATCCAAAGCCGGTAGGAAAGTGGTGGTGGTGACATGTGGCCCTTGCTTGAAACATTATTTTGAACTTATTTCCTGTAGGAATTGACTACAGGTGGGTTTTGTCTTGCAAGGTAGGTTTCCTTTCTTGAGAAGTCTCAAGAGAACAGTTTTCAGTAACTCTAAGACATGGTTAGACCACTGCAACAACTTTATTTCTGGAGAGAATATGTGCTCTGGCTTCCTGCCTCTTCCTACTCTGGGGAAACTGGGGCCAATCTTGAAGACTGATCTCCTAGAAATGTCCTTTTTTTATTCCGACAGGGTTTGACGCAGCTCAAAATACAGGCTGTAAAAGCAACAGAGTTAATAAAAATGAGGGGGAAAGAAGGAGGAAGTAAATGTGTTAATTTAAGTGCAAATAAGAGTTGGCACCTAGGGCAATCATACTTGCCTCAGCACTTGCTGGCATCCTGGGAAAAGGCACTTACAATCTTGAAATTTGTCAGGTTCTTTGCAGCCTTAACTGTCACTGCCTTCTCTGTACCCCCATTTCTCTGTCTATAAAGTAAGGGGAAAATACTTCATCCGAGATTTGAGAGCATCACCTGAGATAATGCATGCAGAGGACCTGAAACAGTGCCTGGCACACAGTAAGCATTCAACTGCATCACAGATATTATTATTATTATTATTTTGAGATGGAGTTTCGCTCATGTTGCCCAGGCTGGAGTGCAATGGCATGATCTTGGCTCACCACAACCTCCGCCTCCTGGGTTCAAGGGATTCTTCTGCCTCAGCCTCCCAAGTAGCTGGGATTATAGGCATGCGCCATCACACCCAGCTAATTTTTATATTTTTAGTAGAGACGGGATTTCTCCATGTCGATCAGGCTGGTCTTGAACTCCCGTCCTCAAGTGATCCGCCTGCCTTGGCCTCCCAAAGTGCTGGGATTACAAGCTTGAGCCACCGTGCCCAGCCACAGGTATTATTATTATCTCATTCATCTGGGGATGGGGAGGGCATTGGTGGGTGGAAAGGAGCTGGTTTTCCTTTACTGGAAGGCTCCTACCTTCTCTTCCCTGGATGTTCTTGCCCCTGCTCCCATTCAAGTCCTCATAGACGGCCTCTGAAGCCGCCTTTGTTCCTGGTCTGGCTCCAGAACGTTCCCATGCCCACTTGAGCTCCCTCTGCTTCAAGTAGACTATTTCCAGGATGCGTACTTCATGTACATTGAACAGTGACCTCAAATGCATTTCCTTGACTGTGCCTCTCTGAACTAAAAAGTGCAGAAATGGCATTGTTTCCTTCTTTTGTCTGGTCTTCCGCAGGGCTAGGTTGAGATCAGGGGAGAGTACCTTTCCTAGCTCTCAGCAGCTCAACTCCACCTAATTAGTGAATGATGGACATGTCCCCAAGAAGACTCCAAACCCACAGTGCCCGGCGTGGTGTTCTGCAGCATGCCACAGGTCATCTTGTTCTGTCCTCTCTGAGGGTGAGGTTGGGGAGGGACCCTCAGCTCACAGGCTCAGTGACAGTGACTCACCAAAGATCCTGTGGGCAGTCAGGGTCTGGGCCAGACCAGTGAGCCCATTCACATGGCATGAGCCGCAACCCTTCCTCTTCCTCCGGCGGCAGCCTGCTTTGTGTGTCCCCTCACTATGAGCCATGGGAGAAATCTGAAAGAGCTTGGATCAGAGGGCAGGGAGAAGAAGGTGGTCCTGACATCTGACACATACTTCATTTTAAACATGGGCTATGTATGACAGGCCATCAGCTGGTTATTGAACAAAGAGAATAAGAGCCCTTTTAGAAGGGCTTTACATATATTCATTCATTTGGTCCTCACAACAGCACTGTGAGTTAGATGTCTCAGTCTCTCCCCTTTACAGATCAGGAAACTGAGGCAGAGAATTTATTTGCCTATGGTCACAGGAATAGTAATGGAGCAGGTGGTTTAGTCTTACAGTCTATGTGCTTAAACGCTAGACCAAACCACCTCCCTAAGATACTAGAGGGTGTTTGTGCCAGTGCCTGGATTCTAAGTGGTTAGACTCTCTTTAGGATCTCTGACCTGTTTCCCCAGCATTCAGACATAAGTTCAGAAACAATGCCATTTGTGCATGAACTGACAACTGACAGTCCTCCTACTTCTATTTAAAAGGCACTGTTACTTCTTTCCATAGGCAGACCCCTACCTCTCCTCCCTTAGGGGAGGATGAAGGTGTCCCAGCCAAGGAAGGTCCTGGTCTCCAAGGGCTGTACCCTACTGGTCCTGAGGCAAAGCAGTGAGGGCCCACCCCAGTTCCTCACCTCCCTTTCTACCCACTGAGGCAGAGGCATCTCAGTGTTGGAAAGATAAGGATTTCTTCCTAAAAAGGAAGGATTATACTATATCAGAGTCTGAAGATAGTTTTCATTTGCAACGCAAGGGAATTCCTTAGAATCTCTACCGTATGATTTCTCTGCAAACCCACTCCGATGGGGCTGGAGAGTGCTCTCTCACTCAGATGAATCTCCCAGGGCTTGTCCAGCAAGTGTTTGCCAACTTGAAGAGCTACCTACTATCACAGACCTATAAAAGTACACCCGTGGACAGACTGAAAACAAACACACACACACACACACACACACCCGCACACCGGGAGAAGTTCTAGGCAATTTCCTCGCAAATAACTGCTTTGAAAATTACTGTTTTAAATGGGCAGAACACGAAGGACTTTGAACAGATCATCCTTTTTACTCAATGTTTTCCTAACCTTGAAGTGAAGGTGGAGGGCACAGTACGTTTTAAGGTGCCAGGATTACACTAAGGGGTCAGTGCTCCCGGATATGAACTTTCTTTTTCAGACCGACCTTGGGACCTACAACGTTGTAAGTCGCTCATACAACTCCATCAAATGTTATAGGTAGGTCAGAGGACATTCAGGTTGTTTAATCCTCTATAAATGACTCAGGCAGCAACAATGTACAATGTCTCTGTTTCTGCTATACAGTGCCCTCCTGCTAGAGATGGCAAAAATGTGGGGAGGGCTTCACAGCATTCTAAGACGGGTATTTCTGGCTGGAATTTTGAAATCTCACTACAATCCTGACAAGAGACCACGACCTTAATCTTCCATGGCACGACTGGTTAGTCTTGATCTTAAGCCATATAATCAACCCCCAAATGTGTATTAACACATCTAAATAATGTCAAAACTACTCTATATACCACGCAGGGGGCCAGAAATCAATCTTTCCCTCAAAAGGATAAGCTTTCAGGATGCAATAACATCCCCTTCCACCCTTTTCTACATCCTAAAACAGGAATATTCACGGTAACAGCAAAGCGGAAATCAGCTTTTCCTGAACATGTACTGAATTCTAGTCACATTCACACACGTTAATTCATTTAATTCCAGCCACAGGGTAGGCAGCCACTGTTAACATTTTACAATTGTGAGAACGCAGTCAGAGATCTGGGACTTGCTCAAGGTGACACACTGCAGCAAGGAGGCAGAATTTGAATCCGAAGCAGTGTCCCTCCCCCTCGCCACAGCTGCGGCGTTACAAACACAGGTCAGTCACGGAGAAATTAATGACCCACAGCCATCCTTGCAGCTCTGCGCCATAACTGGGGAGACAAGCTGGTTCCCGTGACTCTTCGGTCTTTCTGTTTTCATCCAAGTGCATGACTGCGGGAGCAAAGCGACCACGTGAGCATCCCCCCCCCTCTTTCCCCAGGCGAGGGACAGTGCCAGGCCAAGGACAAGTCACAGGTGCAACAACGTGCCAGAACTGGATCCGGAGCCCCAGGGCGCAAGATCTCCCGCAGCGTCACCCGGCAGACGGGACGGGTGTGGCCACCGGGCGCGGCAGGTCATGTGTGCGCTGAAAGTGCGGCTGGAGGCGCGGACGGCTTTCCAGAGCCCGGAGAGAGGAGCTAGGAATGACTTTGGTCGCAGCCTCTGTGTCATGTCGCAGCATGACGGCCTCCAGGGTGACGGCGAGGTCCCCCTCGCTCTCTGGCGGTAATCAGCCGGCGGGGCCAGACGGTGCGGAGACTCCAGGGCGAGGCCGCAGGGAGGGGGCTGTCCCACCCCACGTGGACCGGCTCCCTGCTGGGG